CACAGGTAAACACACACAGGTGAACACACACAGGTGAACAAACACAGGTGAACACACACAGGTGAACAAACACAGGTGAACACACACAGGTGAACAAACACAGGTGAACACACACAGGTGAACACACACAAGTGAACAAACACAGGTGAACACACACAGGTGAACACACACACAGGTAAACACACACAGGTGAACACACACACAGGTAAACAAACACAGGTGAACACACACACAGGTAAACAAACACAGGTGAACACACACAGGTAAACAAACACAGGTGAACAAACACAGGTGAACAAACACAGGTGAACACACACAGGTGAACACACACAAGTGAACACACACAGGTGAACACACACAGGTGAACACACACAGGTGAACACACACAAGTGAACACACACAGGTGAACACACACAGGTGAACACACACAGGTGAACACACACAGGTAATGTATGGAACTTGTGCTTCTTGACTTTTTAGTAAACTGATGTTTTGTTTCACCTGTAGTTTTTTGGACCTGACCACTAATTAGCTGAAGCATACATGTTAGACATGTTGGACATGTTGGACATGTTGGACATGTTGGACACGTTGGACATGTTAGACATGTTGGACATGTTGGACACGTTGGACATGTTAGACATGTTGGACATGTTGGACACATTAGACATGTTAGACATGTTGGACATATTGGACATGTTGGACACGTTGGACATGTTAGACATGTTGGACATGGTTCTAGTATTGTTTTATAATTTATTTTCCAGTAGGACCCTTGGACTATTATCAGGATCATGGACCTGGTACTCTAGGAACAATCACGTCTTCCTGTTGTGGACAAGTGAAGACACCTGAAGACGTGGTGCATTCAGGGACCCACCTGGCTACTGTAGTTATCAAACACAGTGGGGATGTACTCTTTGGGAAATGCTCCGGTGGTGTAGGAGATGAGGAGGCAGGTCTTCCCCACAGCGCCATCGCCAACGACCACACACTTTATGGTCTGCATGGTTCTGTCCAAAACTGTCAAAAACCTGCAGACACATAGAGAACCGGGTTACATCCAGAACCAAAACCCCACACTTTGAGTCCACAGGACTCCTGCTAAACTGATCTCCAGTCAGTGACGCTCTGCAAATACTTATGTCATTTCTTGTTTCACAAAAGACTTCTTTCCTCAGGTCCACCCTCAGCTCCACCCTCAGCTCCACACCCATCTTAAGCTGTTGTTTGAGCTGTTCTGTGTTTGTGATCGGTCAGTGTTTCTGTAAGGTTCTAGGGTGTCTCCTGCAAGTGGTTCTGGAGCCAATTTGTGGGTGGTTTTGTGTGGTTGTGGTTGGTTGTGATTGGTTGTGGTTGGTTGCGGTTGGTTGTGGGTGGTTGCAGTTGGTTGTGGCTGGTTGCATTTGGTTGTGGTTGGTTGCAGTTGGTTTGGTTGGTTGCAGTTGGTTGCGGTTGGTTGCAGTTGGTTGTGGTTGGTTGCAGTTGGTTGTGGTTGGT